TATTAAAAGCAGAACCGGATAAACGGTTACTGAAGCAACTGGCACTTTGACAGATAGCCAAGGTGCAACTAATTGTAACACTCCTAAATGCAGAGGTTTTATTTTTTATTGTTCTGTTTATTCAGTATTTTCAATTTCATATCATAAGAGATTTAGTTTAATGGCATATTGTGACTTGTTGCTGTTTGGGAAAGAGTTTGTGTTGTGTTCGTACAGGGAAATACAGAACTGTTTAAATTTTCCTTTTTTTCATAATGAAAATAGTTTAACAAAGTTGCCAGTGGGCAAAATGCTCCCTCAGTCCCCAGCAAGAGGGTTTTGTCTGTCTTAGACACAAAATGAATAAAAATGGATCCCTATGAATTTGTTTTTTTCCCACTGTACCAAAATTGCACTGAACCGTCACTCCTAAACAGGGGTATGAACTGAACCGTGTGTACCCTAACACCCCTAGTTAAGAAGTTATCAGTGTGTATGGGAGCTGACAAAAAAGGTTATGCTTAAAATATATTATTGCGGCGCCAAAAGGTGCAGTGAAAATGTCAGGTGCACCAGTGCAACCAATGTAAAAAGGAGCCCTGTACATATCCTCTCACAGAGTACCCACACCATCATCATTATCCTCATGTCTGACTCAAACACTCACCACAGGCTGTGCCCATCTGCCAGTGGGGAAGCTCCACTCCTGCAACACTGCATGCTGCTGCATAGGACTTGAGAGATTCGCACAGGGTGTGACGGTCACCATTTGTGGCGCAGTAGTCGTACACACAACTATTGAGGTAGATGCTTGGGTGAATGGATTCATGGCAGGGCTTGAAGGCATCCCCTAAAATGGTGTAGCACTCATTGTAGGCCTCATTCTCCTGGTCATAGTCACAGAGTCTGGGGTCATTTGGATGGGAAACACACCTGGGGGAGAAAGTTTAGAAAAGGAAAAGGAGATCAAGACATTAGGATTTATCGTTCCATTTGAAATAAGACAAAAAAAAGAAGTTTATTAATGTGTCATAATGTGTGTATTAATTCTTGAACAGCTTGTTGCTTGATTGTGAGATTGTCTGCATGATAATGGATTATTACTTTGGTTATTAAAGTACAAACAACTACCTCTATGAATAACACATTCCAAATAGCCTATATCTGTGTGTGGAGACAGTAATGGTTTGAGCTATCACCAGTATGCTAGTTTCTACATACAGACTCTACATTCAATGAATGGAGAGTCTGTAGGCAAACCCTGGAGATCTTGCCTCCGGAAGAAGAGTGGAAGAACCCTGGTTTCCGGTTGTAGGCTGTTTGTAGTCTGCGTGATATTGATCAATCACGTTTGAGCCGGCTGCAGTTGTTGCCAGGTTAAACGGTCCGTGCAGTGAACTAACGAGGCGGAACATAATTGGCGCCACTGCAAACTCGGAATCCATCGCAATGGTTCAGCATATTTACTTATATATAAATGGAAGTAGGAAACGGAAATTCACCTCCTCCGCCCAAATTAAACTGGAGTGCCAAAAAATCGGGGGTCTGCCCCCAGAGGCTGTATCGCTGTCTGCTGGAAGTCAGATGCCGAATACAGCCGATGGGTTCCGAGAATGCCAGTATGCTAACATTCTCAAAATGGGCCTCATTAACAACCAGTTTGTATTAGGCATGTAACGATATGTCGAATTTTGCAGTGTCATGATAAAATAAATTCTCAATACTGTTGTGGGAATGCCATGGTAGTTATATAGCTGCATTCTCCTACAGAGCCGGTAATATGACTGTACAACTACATTCCCCATAATTCTTTGCATGCATCCGTTCGTCATAGCGAGAAGCCACGAATATCACATGAAACAGCAGAATCGTGGCCACAGCGAAAAACAATGATAAAGTTACACTAAAATTATGTATAACAGAGCTTTCATACAGCTTTGCACACACATTACTTTTGGATGGATTACTCACGAATGCAGGGTCGTACAGAAATGCCACGCATATCACATGAAAGCGCAGGACCAGAGCTTTCCTCTCCTCATCTCCTGTTCTGAGAAAGTGTTAGGGTCTCCTTGATGTCAAGATTGTCAGCCTGGCATGAACAAATTGAGTGAATGTGTGTTTTTGAGTTTTTCTATGACTTCCAGGGAAATGGCTAGACTTTATTTATTTTGGTTTTCTTTTACACACATCTCTACCCACCTCTCTCTCTCTCTCTCTCTCTCTCTCTCTCTCTCTGTCTCTCTGTGTATCTGTGAGTGAGGGATTGTGTGCTATTGAGTTTACATTATTTCTAATTTGTTAATTTTGTTGTTGTTGCAGGGTCTGATTGTTCTAAGTGCTGTATATTTGATGAATATTAAGACTACTCTATCCTCATAATTTGATGTCATTCAGATGACTTTCTAGTAATAGTACTACACTACTTTTGTTCAGAGTAGGTTAAAAAGTACTGAATGTTTCCATTTTCATATTCTGTCAATATAGTTTTAATTGACATGACTTTGTTATGGCACTTTAATGTCTGCCTGCCTAGCAGTAATAGGGGGGAAATGAAAGCACATGTTCATCTGTGTGTTGATTTGTTTATGATACGCTTCCAAGTTAAAAATAACATGCTGTACAGTGTACATGCACTATTTTTGAATAAAATAGCTATTTTTAACAATAAATTTTCTCTTTTTTTCCCCTTGTATAAATATCATGATATATATCGTATCGTGGACTTTATCGTGATAATATCGTATCATGAGTTTCTGGTATCGTTACAGTTTGTATGCACAAATCTGTGTTCATGACTGTTTTACACACAAACCTGAGATTCATCAATATGTTCTGACCTGAATTAGACTGCGAATAAATTTATAACTGCCTCGGATCATGCACATGCACAAATGCACAAATGCTGAAGGCCTTCCAGTCTTAGAAAATGTGAACACACACCCTTATTTTGTGTGCAAAGTAAACACATTTCACATTTATTAGTGAATGAGACCCAGTGACAATACTGACATGCTGATAGTTAGTAGATACAATGTTTTTAATGCTCACTGTCTTAGTAAGGTGTGTTAGCATGCTACCATTTGCTAAGTAGCTCTAAACACAAAGTACACCTGAGGCTGATGGGAATGTAATTAGCGACAATGCTGCTAGTATGGCTAAAAAACCCTTTTCTTTTCACCTGCTGTTGAATTTGTATGTTTTTTTTCCTTTGGAATTATTAGAATGTCATAACACTCATTATATTTGTACTTAAATTTTTGCAATTTTTGCTTTATAGTAGAATAGCTTACTCATCATTGCCTGGCACCCTCCAGCTGTCACCAAACTCAAATGGCCCAGTAGCATTTTGGCCTTCTGGTGCTACGAAGTCATCATCCTGACGATCAGAGTAGGTGCCGCACAGTCCGCACAGTTCATACTTGTAGCGCTCATCCACCTGCAGGAACAGTCTGTTCTGTGTGTCTATCATAATTCTGAGCCCAAATGTCGTCTCCATGATAATATAATTCTTCTTCAGGTCGACCCAAACTGAGCCGTATGTACCATTGGTGAAATAGGGGAGTAGGACAGGTCTGTTTTTCACCTGAGGAGAGGACAAGTGAGAATTTAGTTTATTTAGAGTGTCTTTTTTGTGTATAAGTGCAATCAAATAGCAACCAACTAGCTGTTTAGGGCAAATACACACATAAAGGTCAGCAATTAGTTTTCTGTATTCTCGTAAGCGCTATGTTGCAAACAAGTTACTCCCCATGGTGACTGGTTAAAGAGTAATAAATGGCCCCTATAAACATGGGTGTGCTGATACTAAGGGCATTAGCCTCAGTCATTAATAAATTACAAGAGATAATACAGAACAATGACACTCCAAATCCAGTAAATAGGCCACTCACAGGTCATGAGACATGTTTGCACAACTTCCTCTGATACAGTCGCATGTTATAAAAGTGTTGACATTGTTTGAAACATAGAGAATTAGAAGAAGTTTTCATGCTTACATAGACCTTTCCGCTCTGATTCAGAGTGAGGTACAGATCCTCAACCTTAAGGGTCATAGCTTCCAGCTTGGAGCGGGTGAAGTTTTGAATGGGAGGATGCATGTTGTGTCCGATCACAGTGAACTGGACTGAGCTTTGACCTCCACACGTGGTAGTCAGCGTGTAACTACAGCCACCTTGGAAATCATAAGCCATGCCATCAAAGGTGATGTAGTGTGGATCACCATACACGCTGCAGGTGGCGGGTTTGAAAGGGAAGCAGCCTTTGACCCCATCCTTCACCTTACAAACCTCATGGTTTGCGCATTGCATTCTGGTGCACTGCACTTCATTGTTACCCATGCACTGGCACTGCTGCACACACTCTCCCTCGGAGAATGTTGCTCCTTTCTGGAGACAAAGAGGAGGTGTGTGAATAAATTATAGTGTTGTGGAGGTGAATAGGTGAATATGAAATTTTTACCTGTTCATCGACCTCACTTACCTCATAGTGTTTTCCACTGTACCAGCACCCACAGTCCTCTGCGGGGACACACTTTCCCCCACTAAGTTTGAAGCCAGAGTCACACTCGCATCTTTCGTCACAGCCTCCACAGGAACCGACTATATCCAGAACGGAGCATACATCGGGACAGCCATCAGCACATGAATTATAGTGGCTGTTCTCACCACACTGAAGGGCTGAGAGGGGAAGAAAGACGAGAGGACATGAACTCAACTGTTATTGTACTATTACAGTCATTAGTTGTCTCCGTTTCCCTTATTTTGATATCAGGGTAGAGAAATGAAAACAGGAAGCAATAAAGCAACATACGGCAGAATGTAGAGTTCCTCCATACGGGTACTGCGACTCCAGCCTCCTGGCAGATATCGGCGTAGACCTGTAATGTCTCACATAGCGCTGCTGGGTCACCATGAGCAGTGCACATGTCGACCACACAGCCCCTGAAGTAGCTCTCCGCCCCCAGAACGGCTAGGCAGCCAGCGAAGGGCCCAGTGCTAGAGAGGAGGCCTCCACAGTACAGCTCACTGGCATACTCAGCTTCCTCCTGTGGGTCACACTGATGGGGTACTAGAATGGTTTCACAGGAGGAGGTGTTTTCCTCCGTTTGCCAGCTCTTGGCCAAAGCTGTAGCATCTTGGGCATTTGTTCCATCAGGCTTTCTGAAGTCATCTCTTCTGAGGTGGTTAAAGTTCCCACACAAGCCACAGACTTTATCAGAGTAGGTGGACGGCAGTTTGACATGGACAGCACCAGCGTTGTCAAATGAGACAGACAGACCGAAGCTGGTTTCCAGTTCAACAGCAGCAGGGTTGCTCTTGATGTTGATTGTGCCACTGCTGAGGCTCAGTGGAAGCTTCCTCCAGACCCCATTAACCTGAGGAACAGAAAAAGTTTTGGACCTCTTACCAGCTGCCATCAATATGGACTCACTGTATCAGACTGTTTCCATAAAAAGCACCTTTCTGGAGATAGATATATCTTTGGGAATTGATAAGGCAGATAAGTCCAGGACATTACGCCACTAAACTCTGCACTTTATGATAAACTGAGTTTATCAGTAGAATGGTTTGCAGATATGGGAACTGCTTGATCCAGTAAATTACATTGCTCAATACACAGTGCAGCATCGTGGCACAGTGCCACAAAAAATGAATTTGAACAGACAGTACTTCAGTAATTATGACTCTTGGGGAGATGGAAACCCTCTCCTTTAGCCAGAAAAAAAGAAAAATACTGTAATGCAGCCTTTAAAACCAAGAAAAGGACAACACTTATGGTATTATGATATCTAAAATCTAAGATATCTGGTCTCTTATCACAGTATCAATATAATATCAGAATCTTGTCTAGCCGTGTTTCCATTAAACTCTCTTTTTCAGTGAACTTTTGAAATGTTACAAAAATAAAATGCGAATTAGACGTGTTTCTATCAACTGGTCTGGAGTAAATAAACAGCCCTGTTTCCACCAAGCAGTACAGTACAGTACGGTACAGTTGGTACGCCTTTTTTCCGTTTCCACTGTGCAAAGTTGTGGATGGTACCAATGGAAACATTCCGTACTGTTCCCATTTTTGGTCCCCCCTCTGTTGGGGTACCTAGCACACAGATCTGGTACTAAAAGGTGGAGCTGTGAACACTGCAGTTGTGGCTGGTTTTGAGGCTCATGTAATCACTGTTCATACTGTGGAGAGTTTTATTAGTAGGCTGTAGCTATTAAATGAAAGCATATTTTGCTGCCTCTCACAGCAGCTGGAGTCTGAGAAAAAATGATTTAATTCACTGGGCTCACTGCCGGTAACTTTTAAGGTGGAACGTTAACTTGAATCTGACGTGAATCCATCAGCACACCTTAAATTTCAATATGACAATTTTAACCATTACTTTAGTTTCTATATGACATACACTTTTAGTTATGAGTGGATCTTCAGGGGTATATATATATATATTAATTTCGACCTGGTTATGTGAATGGCATATATTCTACTCCTCACTCAGAGAAAAAAAAGCATCGCAGAACGTTGTTCCTGTGGGCTCCGGCAAAACTAAGCCCCTAAGCTTGCCTGCAAAGGACTAAATGCACAAATAATCAAATATCTCATAGAGAGACTCTCACTGCAGCCTGTTTTACCTTGTTCTGTGGATGATAAACAAGGTGCAGACTTCCTTCTGTGTCACCAGTAACGAGGAAATGCAGTGGGGTCTAGGTACCCCGTTTGAAGGGTTACTTGTGGTTTCAAAGGTACCATACCGAAAGTGTTTGCTGGAAATGGGGCTAACTAGGCTGCACAAAGCATAGTCTCATCAGAAGTTGGGGGTATGGGCTTTGCTCTATGCATGGCTATAATCCACCAGTAAACACAGAAGAAGTAGTAGAGGTTGCAAACTGGAAACAAAACAAGTCACCTTGGCCGGTTGAGAAAAGGAGAGTAGTCTTCAGTAATTTGTTTCAGTTCGGCACGTTTCAATTGCTCTTGATATCAGCTAGTATTGGCCATGGTTCACGCTGTCTGGAGACGAAGACAAATTAATGCAGTGATTCTAATGCACGGGACGATGCCGACAGCAGAGACAGCTGATTGGTCATGTGAGTTAAATGCCGGTTACTTAGGAACTTACTTGGCAAAAGTGTTTCGTCCGCTCTTTTAAACAAAGGCAAAAACCACCTCATGCAAGTGTATCAACGTTTTGTGCAGTTGAGAAAGTTTTAGCAAATTTTTCCATTTCCATAAAGCTTCTCTGATGTGGTACTTTTCAAGTGTGCATAAATATACATTTTAGAAACATAGTTGAGAAACCAACTATGTTAGAGAAACCATACACATAGAGAAACCAATAGTTTTGGTTTGGATTTTTTTTCTTCAATAAAGGTAAGAGAAAACTAGTTTCTCTTTGTAAAGCAGTGTGACATTTTAGCTTTTGGGGAGAACTGTTCATTTTGGCAGATGATACAGACATCAGCAATGTGTCACAGTATGTATGCCTTCCTAAATTTCTGTCCCCTTTTAAAAGTGACTCACCACAACTCGGTGTGTCTGCCTCCTAAGCAGGGACACTCTGAATTTTCCCACGTTCACAACGACCTGCTGAACAGTCGGCAGAGATGAGTTCCAGTTCTGCTCATTGACCACTTCCACACTGAACATGGGCAGGGCCTCGGAGGGTGAGCAGGTCTTAGCCAGCGTGTAGGTGCAGGGGGCCATGAAGCGGAACAGCACTCCATCAAAAGTGCTGCAGTCTGTGTGACTGTGGATCGTGCACGTCCCAGAGGTGGAAATCCCTCTGGAGCTTCCTGTTTGAGGACCACAGATTTGGCCCTCAGGGCACTGAGAGGGAGAGCAGGAGAGCTGGCCGCTGGAACAGAGGCAACGGGTGGACTCATCTGTCCATAACTCTGTGTTAGATTCACACTGGGGTCCTGTGGGGAATTCAGCCGAGTAAACAATCACTTTATATTCACAACACCATCTGGCGAGGCATAACTGATTAGTAACATAAATTAATTATTATGTTCAGTGTTAGGACTATAAGGACTCTTCTTAGAGGGTAACTTCAGTATTTTCAACATGGACCCTGTTTACCCATGTTTTTGTGTCTAAGTGATTAATAGGAACAACAGTTTTTGAAACTGTCCAGTATAAAGCGACTGGGCTGCAGCTGGTGAAACAGGCTGCAATGTAACCACAGGGGCAATTATGTACGTCTACTAAAAGTTCTTGTTTTTTGCCACTGACAGGCTCAGACTGTTATTATAAGTGTCTGACAACATTATACAAAGGATCCCTACAGAGATAGACCCTTTTGTTGAAGTGCAAGATCTGTTTTGTTCAACCAGAAACAGGCCCAAAATCACCATCATCAAACCCTTCACACTCCATTTAAATAACAGTAATTTTAGCATGTGTAGAGCTAGCATATTTTCACATCTTACTGGGTGGATTAAGGATTTATTTCACCCAGGCGAGAACTGGTGATGAACCAAGACAGTTTTTGTGAGTTTTATTTTGTTCCTGTTGACTTCACGATGATAAAATTACTGTTTATTTTAGGGCTCTCAAAGTTAATACATTTATAATGAGTTAATGCAATTTCTTTTTAACACCACAAATTTTTTTAACGCACATACGTTCTATAATTATGACCCTCAGCCCACCCTGTAGTTTGGAAAATCAGGATGCGATGTAGCAGTAACGTTATGGATGGCAAGCAGAAACAAACCTCCATGATCAGAAATGGATAAAGAAAGGCATCTTTTGAATGGCATGTTCAGCTTCAAAGCCCTGCCAGATTGTTCTCTCAAGGAACCAGACTTATTTGCATTTCCTGTTGATGTGAATTCACCTTTACAAGTGTTAAGCTGGACACTGTTTTGTGTTAGTATTACTAAATAATGCTACATTAAGGTCAATATTTCCATCTGATGTTGCTTGTTGGGCTCGAGTTTGCTGTGGTATGCTTTCAGCATATTTTTTGAGCATGCAGTACCTTTAAGGTTATTCTGGAAGAATATTCTGGACTTTATTTGTCATTGTTTTGGATTGTTGCAATGATAATACCTACATTTGCATAAAGCAAGCATATTTGTCCACTCCCATGGTGATAAGAGTATTAAAAACTTGAAAAATATCACTTTAAGGTACATTTAGAACAGATAAAAAAAATACAATTAATTTGCAATTAATCATGAGTTAACAATGGATGATCATGCGATTAATCATGATTAAATATTTTGATTGATTGACAGCCCTAGTTTATTTAAATGGAGTCTGGTATGACTGACAGAATTGGGGCTGATTCTGATTAAACAAAAAGGATCTTACTCTATAACAAAAGGTCTATCTCTGTAGGGATCCTTTTCATAATGTCTTCAGACTCTCCTAATAACAATCTGAGCCTGTCAGTGGCAAAAACAAGCACTTTTAGTGGATGTAAATTAGCCTGTTTTGCCGGCTGCAGCCCTGTCGCTCCATGCTGGACCAGTTTCAAAAACTGTTGTTCCCGTTAGTCAGACACAAAAACATGGAAAAATAGAACGTTGTCATCAAGAGTAAAAGCATATTTACCACATTGGCCTCTGCTCACACCCATCAGGTTAAATGCGAACTGTCCGCTTGTGGATACTGCTTCGACTACAGCCTGATATAAAAGCAGATTATATATTTTAATATGCACAATAATGTATTTTAATTACCCAACACAGTTTAATTATGCATATGGGATTACATGCCATCTTACCTGAGTGCCTGGTTCAATGACGTTCAAGGGGACAAACACCTGTCTCCATGAATCCCTCGGGAGGGCAGTAAGAGTCCAGATTTCTTTCAGACCAGCGCTGCTTCTCAGCAGAACTCGAAGTTCTGACCCATCAGTTACAACTGGCGATATGTACCAAAACTCAAGACAGGCTTCACCTTCCAGTCCCAGTGGGCCACTCTCTAAAATAGTCACTACGAAATCCTCTGGAGGTGAAAAGGACAAGAAGATGTCATACACTAGATGACACATAATCCATCAAATAGAAAGTGACCAAGCTCATTTCATTTTTTGCAACATTTTACAAAAATTCAATGTCAGTGACCACTCACACACTTTCTTTTTAAATCACACAGTATAAATGGTGAAATGTATTTTTATCTACGCAGGTTATGAATGAGCTTTTATGTCATATCATAATTTTAATCACATCAGAAATAGCAAACCGTTCCCTCGTCTTTGTTATTGTAGTAAAATAAGAAGTACATCTGTTTGGTGCAATTATCGTTAAATGCAAAATAGCAGTTTGGAGTGTTTTGTGCTAAATTTGAACCTTAAGTGCAGGCCCTCTAATTTGATCGCCCCCTGGGAGAACGTCAGGCTATAAAAGATTATTAGCCTGCTTCAGATCAATTAGTGATATGCGGCATCGGGCACAGACTCGCTCACAGCGCACCTGTAGATTAAAACAGAACTGTGGACTGATGTCCCAAATCCCCTTTCGAAAGGGTGGGGCTAAATGAAAGGTTACTACGGTGAAGTTGTCTCTAGGTGTCAGAAAGAACTCTCACTGAACTGTAACCAGATTCAAAAACATATTTGGCTTTCATTTCATTATTAGATTTAATTAATGAGAGGCGTTGCTGTGCTGTTGTGCAGTAATCGTCTGTACCTGATTTCCATTGGGTCCATTCACAAATAAAATTGTTCTGTCTGTCGTAGAAACACTGTGAAACATAATCTATAAAAGAAAAGAAAGAAAGGGGTTAAATATAGTTCTGTACATTATGCATGCATCTCTCTCTGTTTAGGGTTTATTCAAACCCTTGTTTTGTGGCAAATTTGTCAGTATTGAGTATCGACAAGTCTTGGTACTTGTAGAACTTCATACCTGCATTTGGCCTCCAGTCTGGTAAAGTAACCGGTGAAAAGTCTACCTCAGCCCTGAAATATGAAACAACAATCACAGATTCTTTTAATTTTTTTGCCATAAATTAAACAAATCTTAAACACAAATCAAAATCCCATTCACTTTCCACTTCATGACATTGATAAACCCAGTATAACAATATTTCAAATAACACATCAGCTAAAATTTGACATTCAAAAGCTGGATTATTTTAACACTCACCTGCACTGAGTCCCTGTCTGAGTTAGAAGGAGTAGAGTCACTGTGACCAACAAATCTGTGCGGATGCCTCCAAGCATGGCTGATCCCTTAACGGCAGCCTCCCAGCTGCTCTCCCGTTGCTAATACTCTCTCCCTCTTTGATGACTTGAAGAATGAATGATGAGCAGTAACTGTTGTGGAGCCTCTCTGTGGAAACGCAGCTTATGTGACCCTTTAACTGCCAGCACAGAGGCGTGGGCTCGCTTGTGTTGTTCTCAGAATGGAGCTTTTTAAGCATTTATATCCACCGCCTACCCCCCCTACCTGACCAGGTAACCTCGGCAGTGGGTGGAGAGAGGGGAGTGGTAGACAGGAAGACATGAAAGGAGTTAGACTGAGTGGGTGGTGTGAAAATTTTCTGAAAGTGACGACACAGGCACAGTTACCGCAAATAGTGATAGGGAAGGTAGGGGTTTAGTGTTAAGCCAGGTCATAAAAAGTACTTAGACCAAGCTGAATAACTGATACAGATGCTTGAAAAAAATTAATGACTTATTAAAGTGATGTAAGACATAGATTTCTGACTAAGCAATTAAATGAACTTCTCACTATGATGTAAAACTTGGTAATGGCCAATAATGATTGATAGTAATGACATTGAGTAAACTGACTGGTCAATTTTTTAGTTTTAATGGAGGAAAAGTCAAATGGTAAAAACAAAGTCTGCAACTAAACATCGTACAAAACGGTTTGAAGACAGAAAAAACATTCTGTTGTATTTTGCTGCTAATCGTTGTCATCAAAACAGACACTGTTATAATCTATTTTCATGTTATTTATGATTAACAAAGCTATAGGATTGTTGCAGCTCACGGTCTTGCTGTGTTAACGCCTGTACACACTTCAAGGGACACTTTCCCAAGTTTCAACCAGCTGTGTGTAGTAAAAATGTGAGTAGTGTGTGCGAATGAACTTTGGTAAACTTCCTTCCATCTTACCAGCGCCCATATCTCCCTGCTCATCTCACAGGTCATATCTGAAACGCATCATCCAGCAGATCTCGCTGGCTTTAGGGCTGTTACTGAAACTACAGATTGTACTTAAACATTTTTGTATTCCTGCAACAACGAACACAAACTGTACGTTCCAATACCCATACTACCATATTATATAGTATGCCAGAGAAGAATTGACAGCTGTCAGAAGTTGCAATGATGGATGACAGCGCATTCAAGTAACTGATGATCAGTTGAATAGTAATTAAAGGAATATTAGTTTTTTAAATGAACAAAATCATCATAGATATTACAAACAGTATGACATAACTATAAAAATAACAATGCAAGAGAACTGCAGATGTAATTTCACCGTGACAAATATAATATGTTAGAATCTACAATCTGTGCTGTTATAACTTTAAAATTACACTACACACATTGCAAAGTAACACCAGCAGATCTCTCTGGGTTGATCTCCGTTTCTGGTGAGTTTGGTGAGTGGCGTTTGTTTTATCTCCATGGTAACAGACATAAAAGCAAGAGGGTCAGAGTTCAGGGCGTAATGTTATGAGACAGTAGGAATGTATGTCCCTATTGTGTGCTTACTGCATGTAACAGTACAAACTTTTTAGGGCAGCTGCGGTACCTACTAAAAGTAAAAGAAGGAAGTACGCATTTCGGCAGTATGGCAGCGGATCAAGAGAGAGACCTGCTCTTTTCTGTGTCTCTCTGTCAAACTCAGACCCAACTCAGATAAAACTGAAAAACTAGGCAGTGCTGATCAAATATAAACCAAGATTATGTTACTGCATTGCCTATTTTTCACCTAAAATGTTTTCAGAAACATATTTTAGCTTACTGTTTAACTGTAATTTGAGATCATTTACTATCAGCTGGCAGCCATATTTTTTCCTGTGGTAAAACAGCCAAGCTTGCATTACATCACCCACCAGCGGTAGAGTGTAGCGGTCTGGTGTGGCACAGTGCATTCTGGTAAGAATAGTAGGAATTTGCACAATGAATGAACATTACATACATTAAAAAGCATTGTATTTCATGTCTCCATCTGTTGGTGGGCCATCACGATAAGAGTATGCAGTTATTATATGATGTTAGTTCCACTAAAGAAGAGACTTGATTATCACTAAAATAAGGTGGGAAAAAAATGGATATATCGATATCAGTATCAGTTATTGGTCAATTGAGTTGTTACATATCAGCATAGCAAATATTGGCAAAAAAAATCAATATCATGCATCCCTACATTCTGCTAGTTGTAGGTTTTCTGTCTCTTGAGCTGTAAAGTCAATGCTACGGCCCTTTTCCTCTGTTTATGTTTGTTTTCTCTTGTTGTGTATCCCAATTTCAAACATATTTGCGTCTTTTACTGCACCCTAAAATTATGAAAAGACCCTCTTTCCAGCAGTAACATACTTTTTTAAGCTACTGATTAAACTACAGGAGTTCAAAACAGACTTACATAATAAGAAAAGAGAGAGTCATGGAGACATGTTTCCATTATAACCTTACAGAAACCAAAATCTGCATTTCTTGTTAAAGATTACGCTTCAAACATGTTTATCTAAAGATATCACAGAGGTTACCTTTCATACAGGCATCTGATAGTGCGTTATGTTTGGAAAATCATGCAGTCAAAAGAGGAACAAGATAATTTCCTTTGCCAATCAGAGCTCAGCATCTTACTCATCACACTTAGCAGAGATAAGACAAAAAAGATGAGCCAAGAGTGTCAGCTTATGCAATCCATAGTCTTGAACAGTACACAACGAGGCATGTGTGACCTGATAATATTGCTGTAAAAGAAAAAAAAAAACAGGCTTGAAGAGGTGTCTGCTAGAGTATATTTAGTGTATGTCAGGCTGATAGCAGCGCACACTGTGAGACCAGGTGGAAAAAGAGTGATAAGAAAGACACATTGTATGGGTGGTGCTGTCTGATCGACCTATTGTGACATTCCTGAAGCCCCATCGGTATGTGTCAATAGAGAGGGTGGCCCAAAACAAATATTAGAGCTCTTTAAAGCTGTTCAGCCAAAGAGAGGGTCTTTGTTAGGGATTGGTATCAAAATATTACTGTGCATCTCGAGTATAAAACCTTCCCAAGCTTTTTTAGTTGTTGGCAAAGAGAGGGCAATACAGTAACTATCTTAACTACAGAGATAATCTACAGTCAAAAGACACCAGCCTGATTTTCTATCAGATAATCAAGGCTTTATCTCAGTATGTCTCAGTGTGTCTCAGGTGGGTGATGATGAATGCCACAGGAAGTGAGTTACTTATAAACTGGCCCTCAGAGGTCTGTACAGAGCGGGGTCTGACATTTCCAGGGGCTTAAGGAAATCAAGCATATGTATGACTCCGCAATGTCTAGTCAAAAATCTGTTTTTACACATGGCAGCAAATATACGCCAGACTCCGTTCAGTTAATGTGTTGTCACACTGAGTTACTCATTGTCTTTTACTGTGCACATATTCGGTACAATGCCTTGTAAACTGGGACACTGTACACACAAACAGGCAAATGAATCACAGTAACATAAATATCAAAAGGTTCATTTTATAAGCTGGCAATCATAGTTACTGGAAAGGAGTTGTCTGTCTGGTGATAAGGCCAATCCTCAGGTCAAGTGCGTTCAGGTGACTTTGTCAAGATATTCAAGCTCTGAGAAAACAATCATGATGCATCTTACAGAATACTTTGATACACTTCAAAGTAACCTTACTGATGACACACCCTCGTAATTATGCCAAAAATAGAAACATTACGCAATCATTCACACAATACTGCTCAGTGACATACCTATAAATCCATAAACCTGTACCTGTCCCCATACCTCCAGCATGTCTTCAGTCAACAAATAAAAAGGTCATTAATAATCAACCTCGCCCACAGGAAGTGGGAGAAAGAGCAACAAGGGGCCAAGACCAAGTGCAAAGCAATATACTGTGGGCTTTTCCACGGATCATTGTGGACTACAGATGCCCTGATCCATGACTAACAGTTAATAAGCCTGTGTTTGCTCTTTGAATCCTCTCATTGCTATAGCTCCACTGTGTCATAGGTAAAAATAGAACACCTTAGTAAGCGGAGGAATATTGGTATGGAAAAAAAGGAGCAAATGCCACGTTGTACTCTTTTACAGATCTCAAGGAGCGTGACCTGCTCCCCTACAGAGTGTTCCCTTTAGGAGAGCAAGTGAACCATTAAATATTGCCTAATGCAAAAATTGACCAAGCAAGTCTCAAGTCAGAGATTTTGATGAGCGGATGAACATGCATTAACAATCTAATATCTCACTGCTGATTTTCCACTTGCACTTACAAGATTATCATGTGAACAGTTTTAATTTTTGGAGATAAACATACAGTGAAGATATAAGTGGGTGGGAGTGAAGGGGCCGGTATGCTTCAGCAGAAGTGCTTGTCAGATGGTCAAACAGCTTTGGACACCCCCCTTCGCCAGACACCTTCCTGAATTTGGGAGGCTGCGTTCGACAATTTTCTGTAACTTTCCAAAAACGACAATCTGACATTCTCACCGCCTTCACAGGGCAGTTGGCCAGGTGTGTGGTGAGAAAGTACGCAGAGTTTGAAGATCTCCCTCAAGCTTTCTTTGTCCAACTGAAATCACATTTGATTGAAAAAAATTGATTTCAGTTGGATACAACTATTTCTGCCACTTTTCATGTGTACAAACGAGTGCAACAAAACAAATGCTTTCCCGCAGAGATTAAAAAATGTGTGTTTTTATGCCCATTTTTCAATAATTCTGGCGCCTTGCAGTGATGCAAGGGTTGGGGATTTTGTTTTTTAAAACCCAGACCAACCCGGTTCGACATGAGAGGAAATCTGCTTTGTGCGACCGGCAAACATATGCATTAATCAATCACCTGACCCCGACTGAAGTACTGTAGCACAACTGTCAGGAATGAGTACTGGGACAAGGACAGCTACTGTATATTGCTACAGCTATTATAATGTCCTAACTGGCCTAAGCCATACATCGCTGCACAATGCGCTGTTATGAACATTTGTTGACTGCCCTATTTCTATCTATTCCTCTCACCTGCTGTGAAAGCTTCGCAATATATGAGGTACAGCTGATTGAGAGTTACAGTGAAGCTTTATCCATATGATAACTCCGAAGTTCACTACAATACCTAAATAAGGTGGCAGCTGGCTAGAGAAAGATCGCCAGTCGTCACAGAGCTGAAAGTTTCTGATAACAAGCTATTCGCT